TATAAAAAAACATTTTTATATTTTCAAAGACTAATAATCATACCCTTGGACCTTTTTAAGCAATATTGTCAATTGTATTTCTTACACTATCACTTCCTAATAAAATAATAATTAAATAAAAGTTGCATATTTTAGATATTTTACTTAAGTATCTTCCAATAAAAGGTAATCTGCATATTGAATCGTAGAGCAAAGGGAAGAATGTTTTAAAAAGTAAGAAAAGTCCATACATTTATAAACAAAAACCAATAAAAGAGAATCTAAATAAAATAACTAAAAATCCAAGAAAAAAAATAATGATCCTTTAATATTAGCTAATTTTAAAACAAAATAATTTATCAAATTATAAATTTTTTAATAAAATACTTCTTTTTATAAAAAATTATAAACACTATTTAACTCCAACCATCATAATCATTCCAATAATAAAGCTCAACTATATTTATTAAAATTATTTTATTTTTTATATTTTTTATACATTTGCAATTATAAATAATGCTCTATCAAATAAAAATATAATTCCTAATAAATAACAGCTTAGGCCTAAAATTAAAAGACCTAATCCTAATTCTGAAAAAAAAAAAAATATAAATTTGTTTTACTATTCAATATAAAAATATTAGTTTTACTTTTATTATCATCAAAAAACTATTTTTTTTTTTTTTTTTTTTGCTATTAAAAATTATATATATAATGAATTTTTTTTAGAAAAAAAATATTTTTATTTTACATAAAAATAATATATTGATATAAATTTAAAATTATTAAATATAAAAACTTTACACGTTTAAAAATAAAAAAGCAAAATAAGAAAACAAATAAAATAAACAATAACTAATAACAAATAAATTACAAAAAACTAATTAATTTTCAAATCTAAACAGAACTTTAAATCCAATTTGGTAAAAAATAATTGCTTTAGCTATAATTATTTTCTTCATCTTAAATAAAATTAGTATTATTAAAAATTTAACTTTTTTCATATAGATATTTTACTTATTAATTATTTTAAAGTTAACTATTAGATCTTTGCAAAGACATAGACTTTTAAAATTGTTAAATAGATTTATTATAATTTTCTTTAATGTTAATAACTTTTTCTTATATTTATTTTTATTTTGTAAGCGATCTAATTTCCATATTAATATTTTTATTCTTAATTCTTTTTGATGCATCTTAATATAAGTCAAAGTTTTTTTAAGATTAATTTAGTAATTTTATATTTGAAGAGTTTTTTTTTGTCAAAGTTAATTTCTTACTTTCGTTGTTTACTTAATCAATTCTTATAATTTTACTTGTATTGACTTTTTTTAAAAAAACTTCATTTATAAAAGATTATTATTTATTTAATATATTAAAATTTTCTTAGTATGTATTCATTTTTATTAATGAACGATTATTTTATTTATTACTATTGCTCCGAATTTCTTTTATTTTTTCGAAAAAGTCTAAATATAAACATGATTTTTTATATAATCTTAATTATTCTTAATATTATGAATTATTTTCTTTAAAAATGTTTTCTTTTTATAAATATGTAAATGATTAAGTATAAATTTATTTAAGACTTTCTATTGATGAAAAGTTCAAAGAAACTTCAGCAATTTAATTTAAATTTTAATTAATTTATGAATGATTCAATAGATGTATATATTGTTGACAAAATTATGAACATTTTTATATTTCAAATATTTCTAAATTTGAATTCTCTTTTATTTATTGATTTTACTTTAGTTTTAAATTTTTGTTTTATTATTCTTTTTTTATATCATCTTAAAAAAATTGATTAAAAAATATATATTTTAATAATTACATATTGAGTTTGATATTTTTTATGGTGTTTATTATTATAAAGATTATTGTTTCATTTTTTTTATTGTTTCATATTATTAATTTTCCATTTTTACAATTTTTTTTTCTTTTTATAAAAAATAAAAAATATTTAAATAATATTTATATTTTGATTTTTTTTGATTTAATAAAATATTTGCTTTTATTAAAAATTTATTATAATATTAATAAACCTTTAATTATAAGTATAGATACTCATAATTATAAAAGTTAAAATTTCAATTTTAAAAAAATAGTTTTTATTATTATTTTTATAAGTAATTAATTATAAATAATAATAGATGATTATTTAAACAAAAATATATATAAATTTTAAATATTTGTAATAATAATATAAAATTTTATATATAAACCTATAAACCTACAAAAATTTAATTTTTTTTTTCTAAAATTTAATTTTTTTTTTCTAAAATTTTTAAATAAATTTTTCTTTATTTAATAAAAAATAAAAATGCAAATAAATTAAATTTTAAATTTTAAAACTATTTTTGTAGGATTTTTATTTGAGAAATATATATATTTGATTCTCACATTCAAATAATCAATAGTCAATTTTTTTTAACGTAGTTTTATCCCTAAAACCTTACGTCTATTTATGGCGGTTTATTTTAAAAATATTCAATAATTTATTTTCTAATTTTTTATATTATTTTTATAAATTATCGCTCTTTAAAATATATTTCTATAATTTTTTTAATTTAACAAAGTAAGAAATAATCATTATTATTAAATTAAAATTAAAAACATAATTAAAAAATTCAATTTTATAATAATTAGTTTTTTTAAAAAAAGTAAAAAATTAATTTATTGGAAAAAAAAAAAATGAAAGATATAAATGAAGATAATACAAAAACTTATCAAAAAATAAAAATGTCTAATACGTATCGTTAATTAATAGACTTTAATACAGGAACAGTTTCGAAACTTACTTTTAAATAAAAAAATAAAAATAATTTACTAAAAAAATAAGATAAAAATATGAACAATAGTTTGAGTAGCATCGAAAAAAGTTCTCATATTTCAGTCTTAAATTCATAAGATTTATAAAATTAAAACTAATAAAACGAAAACTTATGTTGCGTTTGCTGGGAAATTCCTTAAAATATTTAAAGAAGTACTCATTGTGGGCATAAAGCATGTTATAGTTGTTGGTAAAATTGGCTATAAAATTAGTTGACATGTCCTTTATGTAGAAATAGGTGTAGACTTAATTATCTAGAACCAGTAAAAGAATGAGAGGATGAAACTTAATTAAAATATTAAAAACCTTTTTTAAAAAAGAAATTATTTTTAAAAAATAAAATATATAAAAATATAATTATTTCAATTTTAAAATTATTTTATAATAATACATTTTTTTATATTAAAAATAAAATACTAATATTAATAAATTAAATTATTAATCCAAAATATGAAAAAATTTATCATTTATTTATTGTTAAAGCATAAGTGGAACTACCAAAAATATTCACAAGAGCTCATTTCGTTAATTTAAACTTATTTTTATTTTTTTATTAAATAAATATCTTAATATTTAACTAATTTCTATATATTCTTTTTATTAAAACAATAGTTTTTAATTATCAAATTATTTTCTTAATATATTTTTTTTTTAATATATTGTTTATTCTAATTATTTTTCTATTTATTGACCTTTTAATAATTAAAATTATTTTCAGTAATTTTTATTATTTATTTATGTATAATTTTTATTTTTTTATTATTTAAAGAATTTATGACATTAAAAATAGCATAATTAGAAGTTTATTTAGATTCACTATCAAATGTATCATTAAAAGTGAAACCTTTAATAATTAGTTTTTTATTCAAATTATTTTATTATTTTTTTTAAAGATATTTGATATCTTATTCGTATTAAACATGATATAAAAAATTCTAATTTTTTATTTATTTAAATACTATTTTTAAAAAATATTTAATATTCTTTTTTAAAATACAGTATTGCTTATCAAATTATTTAACTTTTATAAAAAAGAAATATTTTTTTAGATTTTTATAATTTTTTTTTAAATTATTATTAGATTTTTAATTTGCACTATTCATTATTTGATTATTATTATTAATTTAAAATTATACAAAATTTTAAATTTATAATACTTATTTTTCACATTCATTTTATTTTAATATTATCGATTATGATTAATTTAATACTAAATAAAATATTTTTTAGACTTTTTTAAGAAAATTTATATTTTTTAATATTTAATTTGACTAAAATAATTAAATTAAATTTAATTGTTTAAATATTATATTTTATTAGTTCAAAGTTATAGATAAAAGTTTATATATATAACTTTTATTTTTAAAAAAATTTTTAATAATTACAATTATTATGAATGATATATTTTTCAATATTTTATATAGTTGAAATATAAATTTTAAATTTCTATTATAAATTTATTTTTAAATTAGAAGCATATATATTCAGACTTACAAAAAATATATAATTTTTTAATTTATATTCATTTTATTTATCTTGTAAAAATAATTTTAAAATATAATTAAATAAATTATTATATTAAAAAATATAAATAATAAACATAAATAATATTAAAATTTTATATATATATTTTATTTATAAATTAAAATTTTTATATAAAAAAATTTTATAAAATTAATTATTTTTATATATAAAATTTTTATTATATATCCTTTAAATAAAAATAATATTTTATAATAGTTATACAAGAAATAATTAAATTTTTAAAAATAAATTATTATATATATAAAATAATAAATAAATAGAATTTAAATTAATGTAAAATTATATATGAAAATATATTAATAATAATTTATGATTTTAACATAAACAAAAAATAAAAATTTAATATAAAAATATTTATAAATATATATATATATATAAATATATATATATATATTTATATACTTATTTATTTTTAACTAATATATAATAAGTTTTTATAATTTTTCAAGTATGTATATTTTCTATTATTTTAATTTCTTATATAAAATTTTTATTAATATTAGATTTCATCAAATTTATATCTTTATAATAATTACAATTGTTTTTTTAATTAATTTGTTAATTTAATTCTTATGCATACATAAATTTTTTTAAACGTATATCTCTTTTTTTGTCCTATATTTTTATCTAAAACAACTCATTATCATTTTTTAAATCTTAAGCAATCTCTTATTTTTTATTTTAATTTTTTAAAGATATAAATTTTTTTCATATATTTAATTTTATAAATAATCACACATTGATTTTTTTTATTCTTTTTTTTAATTTTCTGCTCTATCATATCTTACAAAATTTTTTTTTCATTTCTTAATATATATTTTTATTATCTTTCATATATTGCCCATATTTTTTTTTCCTTTTAATTTTCTATCCTTTTATTTTCTTATTAATATTTTTTTATTTTTTCATCTCTATCTTATATTTCTTTTTATCTTTTAGTTTCTTGATTTTCCAATTTTTTTTAATGATCTTTCATTTATTAAATACTTTATAATTTTTCTTGTTTAATTTTTTCTTTTAATTTTATTTATTTTTCTATATTTTCTTATTATAATTTCTCACCATTTTTTTTATTACTTTCCTTTTTTTATTTTATACATTGTAATTCATATTCTAATTCATCTTTTGCTTTTTAAATAAATAAGCCATCTAAAATTCTTTTTTCTTTATAATTTTGTTTTTTAGATTTCTTAATGTCTTATATTTATTAAGATCTGAATAAATTTTCATTAGTTTTCAGTTCTTAAATTTTCTTTAATCTTTCTAATTATTTTTCATCATATTTTGCTATTTAAAGTTTTAAATTTTCAAAATATATTAGATCTTCAATTTTATTTTACTCTTTTTGACTTTGTTTTTATTTATATATATATATTAAATTTTTTTTACATATTTTTTTCTTTTATTTAATTGTCTAAATCTTCCTTAAATTTTTATATTTATTAATACTTTTTTAATTTTAATAATTCTTATTGTTTTTCATTTAAATATTTATTATATTTATTTATATCTAAAAATTCATTTTCTTCCCTCTTTAATTTTTTTAAGTCTATATTTTCTAGTTTGGGTTATTAAATATTATTATTTGAGTTATTATTTTATAATTCTAATTATGTTTAATATTTGTCTAATTCTTCACTTTTTGTTTTAATTTTAGTTTTTGTTAATTCCATTTGATTTTCTTCTTTTTACGAAATCAATTTTTTTTCTTTTTCATTATTTTGAATATGATTAGAATTATATTTTTTTTAGTTAATTTATTTCATTATTATTTCTTCTAATAAATTTATTCCTTTGGAGTTTATATTTTAGGTATGCTTAATATAATTATCTAATTATTATTTAATTATTTCTCTGTTTTACTTATTATATTTCATTTCAAATTTTTATTATAATACTTCCTTTAATTATTCTCTCTAAAGGTATGAGAAATTTATTTTGTTTTATAGTTTTGATTAATTGTTATGATTTTTAGGATAAATCATTTTTTTTAAAAAAAGTATTTATATTTTATTAATGTATTTATAGAATTTTTTGTGATTGTGATTGTGATTACTAATTTAATCATAAAATATATTTATAAATTTATAGCCATAAAATATATAATATTAAAAAAATATTTTAAAATAATCATATGTATGATTTATTTATATATTTTTGTTATAAAATATTAATTTAAATTAAAGATAATTGTTTAACATAGATTTAAAAATTTTTTGATATAATTTTTATTTACATTAATCAAAATCTCAATTGTGCGATTATAATTTAAAAATAAAATATCGAAATCCATAACAACTACCGTAAATATAAAATCTCGCAGCGCCATATCATCTTTATAAAAAAAATTTTGATATTTACTATTCTTTATAATACGATGAAATTAATATAATTATAATATATTCTCAAACTAATAGTCTATTCTTTATATTTATTCTTTATATTTAAATTATAAAACCAATGATAAAAAAAATCAAATTCAAAAATATGAAAAGATTAATAGAAAAAAGTACTTTTTAATTTGATTTTCATCCATTTTATCTATAAATAAGCCATCCATGTGCTTTGAGATCATCGCCAATTTATATATTATGTGTAAAGTAATAATATTTGTTAAAACTGATAATTTATTTAAAATAGAATCATATATTAATATATTAAATAAATTCTAAATTGTGAAAAATATTATAATATTAATTTTTGCAACATTTTGTAATGAAATATATTTATTAATTTTATTCAAAAAGGCTGAAATGCAAAAATAATTTCTATTGACATATTTATTTTGGAAATTAATACCTTCAGAATAGATTCTTTTATGCATTTAAGCCCATTTTCAGTATCAAATTTTCTGTATTTATACATTCAAACGGAAAACTAAACCTCCCAAAGATTCATAGTGGTCAGTTAGACTTACTCTGTCTTTAAAAAAGAGGGTTATCAGTAGTTTATCACCACAATATGATATGTGACTCGACTTTACCTATCCTTTGTCGGAGCTATCTGTGATCTATCCCATTCTAACACCTATCGATTTAGCATACCCTTTAGCTAAACTTAATTTCACCATTAAGAACCATCTAAATGAAATTCTATCTTAGTAATGTCATTGGCTTAACTTAAGTTTATTTTGGGAAATAACTGATTAGAGTATACAAAGTGATTAAAGTTAATATTTATTCATAAAAAAAAAAAAATATTAAATTAATAGCAAATTAACAATTTCATTTTTTTAATAAATATTCATTAATTTTTTTGTAAATACAAAATATAACGATTTTTTTAAAAAAACATATAAAGAAAGAATTTGATGTTTGGATAAAAAATAATATTTTTGTACTTTTAAATTAATTTGATATTTAGAAAATAAAAAATTTAAAATTGTAGAAAATTTATTATTTTATCACCATTATTAATTTAATATGTAAGAACTAAATTGGATATAAATTTTCTAAAAGCAATTTATAAAAATAATATAATTAAAGTATTATTTAAATTTGGATTAATAAATTTTTTTAACCATAAAATAATTTAATTATTATATCCAGAGATATTTAATAAATATTGTTTATAATTATTATTAAAATAAAAAATTAAATATATTATATACGATACTGTAAACATAATTTTTTTTTGAAAAAATATTTTTATAAGGTACTTTATAAACATATGGTCAACTCTTAATTTATTAATATTATAAAAATAAACTTCAATTATAATTTTTTGAATATATTAAATTTAAATTATTTAAAAATTAAGCAGTTAATATCTAGTTTTTTTAAAAAATGATTATTTGGTTAAAATAATGTGTTTTAAAAATTCTACTAATCTTTAAGATTAGTAACAAATTATAAATTAATAATTATAGTAACTTCATTATTATTTTTATAATATACATTTAAATATATATTTATAAATTTTTATTAATTATTAAATTTTGATTTTATAAAATATAAACAATAATTTTTTTAAAAAAATAATAGTTTATTTTAAAATTTTGTATATCATCATAAACTTTTTTCTTTTATAAATAAAGTAATTTTTTAAATTATAACTATAATAAAGTTTTTAAAGTTATAAATTTTATATTAAAGTACCTTATATATTCTTATTACCTAAATAGTGTTTTTTTTCATATTTTAAATATTTTAATTTACATATATCATTATTATATTTATTATTATTTCAAAAGTTTATAAAATAATAGTATTAAATTTAATTCCACAAGTATTATTATTTTTAAAATAATTTATGAGAACATCTTCAAGTAATAAATAAGTACAAAAAAAAAAGCAAATTTTTTAGATCATATATAATAATAATTAAAATAATAAATATTTATATTATGTAATTAAATTACACTCTTAGCTATATAAATTGAATTAATTAATATTATTATTTTTATACAAGTATGATATGATGGATAATTTTTTTTTTTTTTAATAATATATATATATTAATTTTATGTAAAAAAAATTATTTATTTATTTCATTATATTATTAATATTTTTATTTTATTTAGTCTATAAAAATTTTATATAGTTATAAAAATAATAAATAAATAATTAACATTATATTTACCTTTATAAATTTATGATATTTTTATGGCTGTCATTTATAAGTTTTAACCATAAAATGATTAAAATATCTATTAAACACATTATCATTAAAATTTATAAACCCCATGATAAATAAAATTAAATCACTTATAAATATAATACTATAAATATTTATTTAAAATTATTGTTTTTATATATTTACAACATAATACTTTATAATATTCAGTTAATTCTTTTATAAAGTAATACAGATAATTTATATTATTGTATTTTTTTTTTAAATAAAATGATATAATTTTATTTTATTTAATTTTATAATAAAGATATATTTATATATTTACCATAAATATATATTTTTAATAAAAAATTATTAAATATAAAATTTATTAAATGGAAAAACCTATTGCTTTAAACCATTTTAAATAAAATAGTTAGCATGAGAAACTTGATAAAATAGAAGATTTTGATAAAATAAGGAATTTAGAATTGGAAGATATTTTAAAATTATTAGTGAAAAATCATATTAATTTTTCAATATCAAGATATGAGAAAATAGAGAAATAATTTCAAATAGAAGTAGAATAATATAAAGAACAAACATTAAATATAGAAGAAGAACTTTAATAAATTGTCGATAAATAAATGAAATTTACAGATAATTAATTATCTATAATGCTTATAAATAAATTTTATTAGTTAAGATAAAGTGATATACAAGAAATGAACAATAAGTACTTTATTACTTTTGAAATATATTTATTAAATTTTATATAAAAGATTACATAATATTTTGTAAAAAGTTAAAGATAACCATTATTTAGAAATTCAAAATTTAATCTGTAAATTTAAAGCATATTTTGCAGTAATTTTTATAATTTATTTTTATTAAATAAAAAATAATAAATTTTTAAAAATTAAAATTAAAATTAAAATTAAAAAGAATATTTTATAATAAAAACTTAGTGAGTAAAAATTAGCTTTAGAAAAAGATTTTTAATTTAGTGAAAATTCAATATTAACTAGAAAACATATTTGTTAGTAAAAAATAAATTATTAAAAAAATAAAATATTATGTTTAGCTTTTCTTATATTGTTAATTGGTATAAAATAATTTATTATTATCTATCACTCATATTTTTATTATTATTTTGATTTATAAATAAAAAAAAATAGTAAATAAAGGCTAACATAAATTTATTAGATTTTAAATAAATTATTTTTTACATATTTTTTTTTTTTTATAAAATATAGATTAGAATAACAGTAAAAATAACTTTAATAAGAATTAGAATAAAAAGATAAGTATTTATAAGAAACGTATTAGACAATTATTTAAAAGAATAATTAAATAACAGAAAAAAACAAAGAATGTGAAAAGTTAAACTTATTAGTATAATAAAAAGAATTTGAAATAGATTAAATAAAAAAAAATATGATTTAAAAATCTCCAAAAAAATTAACTAAATAACAGGAAATTAAGAAGATAACTTTCTAAATTTAAATAAAAAATTTATTTAAAATACTTATTTAGATAACCTAAAATTACACTCATAATCTCCAGTCGCTTAAAGTAAAATATATGAAAATAATATTCCAATAATAAAAAAATAATAAAAAAAATAGAGTTATAATAATAATAATAATAATAATAATAATAATAATAATAATAATAATAATAATTAATCTAATTATCAAGGAAGTATAAATTTAATATTTAAACTTCTAAAGAATTAAAAGCCCTAAGTTAAAAAACTATTAAATTTAATAGTTAACTAGAAAATGAAAATATATTTTATAGTTAAAGACAAATTAAATATGATAAAAATTTTTCTTTGAAAAATAATACAAATCAAAAATAAGTTAATAATTTGATTTGATTTTATTTTTTAATCAATTTTATTTTATTTTTATTATAATAATTTAATAATGATTTATATGTATTTATATTATATTTGTGGTATTATAAAATATAAAATAAATATTTTATATTTTTTTATCATATAATAAATATTTAATATAAAAATTGTAGTATTTTTCTAAAAAAATTAATAACAATTTTATAATACTTTTAAATATTAAAAATATAATCTTATACGGTAATTAATAACATTATTTTTATAATTTATTTCTTAAAATCAGAAAATTAGATTTTTAGTTATCTAAAATTGTTTTCTTTCAATTTTTTTTAATTTAATAATTACTAATATTAAAAATATAAAAATAAATAATACAAGAATTAATTATATTTAAAAGTTTCATATAAACTATAATAAAAAAATTTAATTAAATAAATAATAATATATAAAAAAGTTTTTTAAAATTAATAAAAATAAAATTATATAAAAAAATAATTCAAAAATAAAAAAATGGAATAATATCAAAACCCTCAATCTCAACAGCAAAACGAAGAAATATTATACTTATCATTTAATCAAGACCAAGAGTGTTTTTCCTGTGGAACTGAATAAGGATTTGTCATATATAACACAGATCCATTCTAGCACATATACAACCGCGATTTCGGAGGTGGAATAGGCATAGTGGAAATGTTAAATCGGTGTAATATAATAGCACTAGTAGGAGGTGGAAAGTAACCTAAATTTGCTCCAACAAAAGTTCAATTATGGGATGATAATTAATTAAAAAGAATTGCCGAAATGAACTTTAGAAGCGAAGTAAAAGGTGTCAAATTGAGAGAAACATGTATTATTGTGGTTTTAGAAACAAAAATATATGCACATAATTTCTCAGATTTGAGATTATTTGACACTATTAATACCTGTCCCAACCCACTTGGTTTATGTTCTATTAATACAAAAGGCAATTTTATGATTTTAGCAAGTCCACATAAAAATGTAGGAGAAGTTAATGTTAAATTCTATGAAGAAGATCGTACAGTGGTAATCAAAGCTCATTAAAGTGCATTAAATTGTTTATAATTAAACCATAATGGTTCAAAACTAGCAACTGCTTCGTAAAAAGGGACTCTTATTAGAATTTATAATACTTAAAAAGGAGAAATTCTGCAAGAATTAAGAAGAGGAAGCGAATATGCATAAATTTATTCAATTGCTTTTCATCCTAAAGGAAAATATGTAGCTTGTTCTAGCGATTCAGGCACAATACATATTTTTATGTTGTTACAATAATAAGGAATAGTCGATGATGTTGAAGAAAATAATTAAGAAGTGAAACAAAACCCAAAATCAACTTTAAAATTTTTGAAATTTATTGTCCCATATTTTGATAATGAAAGAAGTTTTGCATAATGTAAAATTGGAGAATATAAATCAAAAATAACTTTTGATTAAAATAATGGAATAATTGCTATTACTTATTAAGGCTAAGTTTATTAAGGAAAGTTTAACGTGGAAAATGGAGGTGAATTTGTTCCTTAGTGTTTTTCAATGAATAAATAAGATTAATAATGAGATATATTTATGTTTAATTTTTTTAATTATTTTTATTTTTATATAATTTATATTTTTACTTTTAACAAAAAACGCAAAATAAAAATAAAATTTAATATAAAAAAAAAAATGTTTGAAGATAGAGAAAAATTCAAAATCAAAATAACAGAAATATTACCAAATACAAAAAGAACAAAAGAACTAAATGCGAAGAAATTCGCCGAAGAATAAAAAAGGTTGGCTGAATAAGAAAAAGAATAAAAGTAAAAATATGAAAAAGACATACAATTAAAAAAACTATTTGAAGAAAAAAAAAAGCAAAAACTTTAAGAAGAAATAAAAAAAAAGGAAGAAGAGAAAAGAAAATAGGAAGAAAAACAGTAAATCTCAACACTTTCAGGAAAGTTTGGTTAAATGATAAGCAAGTTAAAATAAAATTAATCACAATTAGATTATACATTAAGTGGTTTAGATTTACATCCAGCTCAGATACGAATATTATTGAAGGCTTTAGAAAAAAACTTGTCTTTAAAAGGTTTAAATATGTCAAGGAAAAAACTCACAGATTTTGAAGGAGTAGAAATAACGAAAAGTTTAAAAAAAAACATTGTTTTGGAACGATTAGAATTAGAAGGAAACGAATTAGGACCTAAAACATGTATAGGATTAGCTGAGTTATTAAAAAATAATTAAAGTTTAAGAGTTTTAGATTTAGAAGGAAATAATCTTACAAATTAAGGAAAAGATGTTGCCGGTTTCGAAGCTTTATGTGAAAGTATTAAAGAAAATGAAAACCTTCTTTGTATAAATTTTACTAATTGCTGCTTGAATGAAAAATGTGGAGAATTTTTGCTTAGTTTAATTTATGGAAATGAGAATTTAATTAGCTTAGAAATAGATTAAAATGTCAAAATAAATATTGAATAAGTCAGAAAAATACAAGATAAAATTTAAGCTAATAAAAAAATTTACGATGAAGAAAGATTAAGGGAATTTTGTGAAAGAAAATTGAGAAGTCATGAAGAAGAAATGTAAAATATTTAACACATTGAGCATGAAAGCAGAAAAATGATCAATGAAAATATTAATGTTAGGATCGAAGCTTTAAGATAAGAAAAGGAAGAAAAATGGCAAAAAGAAATGTAGGAAGAGTAAAATAAATAATAGAAAATATTTGATAAAATTAAAAAAGAAGTATTTTTAGCGAGACAAAAAAAAAAAAAAGAAAAAAAAATGAAAATTTTTGTTGTTTTTTTTGTTATATATATAAAAATAGTTATTATTTTTATGATTTTATATTATTGTTAATTTTTAATTTTTATAATAAAATTTTATTAAAATAAAATTTAATTTTTATTATTTAAAATTAAAAAATTATCAGTTTCTTTATTAATTAAAGTATATATCATATTAATTATTATTCAATTTTTATATTTATTATTCTTATTATTTTTCTAACAAATCATATCATCATTTTAATTTAAATAATAATTTTTATTTTTGTTAATTTTAGGCAATATTTATTTATTTAATTTAATTTAATATTTTTTTTAAAGGATTTTTCTGCCAAAGCTTTTTACTTATTTTTTTATTAAACCTAACCTGAAACTATATTGCTTTTTTAAATATTACTTAAATTTTATTACAAATTATTTTAATTTTTCCAAAAATTCAAAATTATTAAATATATCTAATTCTTAATCTTTTCCATTTTTACTAAAAAAGCTTTATTTTGAAACATTATCAGAATTAAAAGAATTCGTTCCATTATTATTTAAAAATTCATCATTACCTTTTTTCTAATCTCCACATAATTTTTAATTATTATCATAATCGTCTTCAAATTATTCAAAAAATTATTTATTTAATTATTACTCTTTCCCTTCTTATTAATAATCTTTAGTATATGAATCTTCAAAATTTTTTAAAAAAACATCACGAGGATAAATTTCATTAAAATTTCTGTACTATATAGTTATGTTGCTTCCTTTTTAATTAACTTGTTTTTAAATCTAATTTAACTGATTTTAAAACACAGCTTTTATATTTTTACCACTACAAACTTTCAAAATAAATTCTTCGAAGTTTATAATCTTCTGGATATGGCTTAGAGTTTTAATAGAATTATTAATACATTGATTCAGGTAGAACAACTAAATCTTTTTTTTATATTTTTATTATTTCTGCTGGAGTGTATGAAACTATATTTACTGTACTTTTTTTATTTGCAAAAAGTTCATAATCTGCAAATACACACCCTTCATCTTATTTTTAAATTAAATAATAAATAAATATTTTAAAAGAAAAAATAAATAAAAATGCGTACATAGTTCATCAATTTCTAATATAACATTTTTAAAATTATCATTATTAGTGTTATTTTGAAAATCAAAAATATACTTATCATCTTAAATAATTTATTTGTTTTTTTATCAATTTTAAATTTTACTTCTTTCATAACTTTAAGTACTCCTTTTTTCAAAAAATACAAAGAATCAACAATCTATCCTTATTTAATAATAATTGAATTAGAAGCAAAATTAACCTATTCCGATTTAGATAAAATTTATATTTTTTCTGGCAAATCAATTTTATATCCTGAAAAAATATAACTTTCGTAAAATTGTAAAATTTCATGTGCATTAGAAGCTGTTTTATATTTTATATATTTTTAGAAAATTTCTTTTGTAAGAACTATAAAATCACATACTTCTATTATTTTTATTGTTGCATTTCTTATTGAATTAAATAATAAAGCTAAGTCTCCAAAAGATATTCCTTTTGATAATCTACTTACTTCCTGCTCTTACATTTTCCCTGTTTTTTCATTCAGCATATTTATATGAACGCTTACTTATCCTTATAATATTATATAATATTTATCTCCGTATTCTCCTTAACGAAACAATACATGACCTTAATCATATGATTCTAAGTATAAATATTTACACATTTCTAAAAATTCTGGTGTTTTTGTCCCTATAAATTATTTAAGGAAATTTACATCCTTTTTTAGTATTATTTGTTTTTTTTTTTTTTCAATTATTTATTTACTTCTATATGTTATGATAATAATATTATGTCTTATACATTCCTCTAATCAAAAGGTTTTTTTAAAATATTTTTTATCTGTTCTTCTTTACTTATTTATTGTATTTATTTCTAATGAGAAGCCTTAGGAGATCCATAAAATGAACCATACGCAGATATTTGAGGTGTATACCTATTTTAAGAACAGGTAACCGATATTGATTTTACAACAGACATAAAAATATTTATTATAAAAATATTATTAAATAAATATTTATTAATTTTTTTTTTTTTTTCATAAAGTAAATAAAAAATTAATAAAATTTCATTATTTTATTTTCATATAAAATTAAATATATATATATTCTTTCAATTAACAGAAACTTCTTCACAATTAGCAATTCTAACATCTTTAGAAGGCTTTCCAGAAGAGCTTCCAGCAGCTTCAATTTTTTTAATAAGATCTTAACCTTCTAAAACTCTACCAAAGACGACATGTCTGGAATCAAGCCAACTTGTTTGAGCAGTTGTAATGAAAAATTGAGATCCATTAGTGTTAGGGCCAGCATTAGCCATCGAAATGCAAAAAGGTTCATGTCTTAATTAAAAGTTTTCATCATTAAATTTATGTCCATAAATAGATAATCCACCAGTTCCATCTCCATTAGTAAAATCTCCTCCTTAGATCATGAATTAGGGGATAATTCTGTGAAATTTAGAACCTTTGTAATGCAATTTTTTACCGTTTACTTCACCATTTTCACCAGTACATAAAGCTCTGAAATTTTCAACTGTTTTAGGCACAACATCTCCGAATAAACCTAATACTATATGACCTTCTTCCTTCCCGTCAAAAGAAATTGTTAGATTTAATTAGTTAGTTACTTTTTCCTTACTTAATTAAGCAAGAATTATTGAAGATAATACAAAAATTATTATTAATTTTTTTTACATTTTTTTTTTTTTTTTCTAAAAAAATCTTTATTTTATTGTAAAAAATTAATTTTAAATTTATTTAATTTGATATATAATATTTTATATATAATTAATTAAATAAGTTAACTTAATAATTATTTATTAAAAAAACAAATATTATTTATTTTTGTTTTAGATTAATTGATTATTATTTTACAATATTTTTTTTTTATATATAAAAAAAAACATAAAATTTATAAACAAATAATTTATTTTAATTTTTAGACACGTGTGAATAACAATAATAATAAATAAAATATAAATTCAAATATTTAAATTAGTAACAATAAATTTTAGGAAATTTATAAAATATTTAATTTAAACATAGTAATTTTTAAATATTGTAAAAATACATATAAGTAATTTTTAATATTTTTTTAAAAAAAGAGTTATTAAAAAAATTATAATATTTCAAATATTAAATTTAATTATGTTTTGTTTATTCTATTAATTAAAAAGTATGAAATATACATTAAAATAAAAATAATTGTATTAATATAAAATTTAATATGTTTTAAATATATTTTAATTATTTATTTATAGAAAATAAAAATTATCAATATTTATTTTTAGTATTTTCAATAACTTTTTTTATTTTATCATAATATCAAATATTATTAGCTATATAAATAAATATCATAATAAATTATTTAATTTTTTAAGTTTGTTTATGTAAGTTAAGTTAATTATAATATTTTTAGATTAATTTTTATGAATTAAATCTTTTAAATTTTAAAATAAATAATATAAAAGTTTAATTTATTATTAAAAAAAAAATATATATATAATATATAATTTATAAAAGATTAATAAAACAAAATATAAAATAATAATATTTACTTAAGATAGCAATAACTATTTAATTGAATTAATAAATTAAATAAAATTAATTTGTAAATAATTAAAAAATTCAATATATTAATAAATTAATAATTCAATTAAACATTTTTTTTTTTTCATATATTGGTGATTAATTATATATGAATTCTATTTTATAATCTATTTTTTTAGTTAATCAAAATAATAAGAGTTATTTAATAATTATTTCTACCTTTTTTATATTACTAACTTCCTATTTAAAATATTATGAGTGGGATTTTCACCTTAAATTAAATATTTTCTTTAAATAATAATTCTTTTGTCACAAAAAGGTTAAATAAAATACAATTACTTTTTTAATCTTACCTATTGCTCATAATATTTAAAAATCAAGATTTTGAAAATAAAAATATAATACTTACTTATATCATTAAATGTTTCTATTTTACAAAGTTGATTTTTAAAATATGCCGTTTTTGTTACATAATTTTTTTTTAATAAGGAGATGTTTTTTAATATTTTTAATTAAATATTAATTAATATATATATATAATATAAGCTTTCATTAATTAAGAATTAAATTACACCCTCAAAAAAGTGCAGTAATGAATAAAATAAAATAAAAAATATTTAAAAAGATAATTGATTTTATGTTTGTGAATTTAACTTAAAATATTTTAAAATAAATTTTATTAAAAAAAAAAATCTTTTTACTTTTTAAGCAAAAAAAAGAATTAAAAAATATTAATTTAAAAGCAAAATTTTATTATAATTTTCATAGTTATTTTATTTAAACTTAAGTCATATTTTTTTTTTTAATTAAATCTAATCAAATAAATATGGTATGGTTTAAAAGGACTTTAAAAAAAAACTTTTGGTGAAAAAAGTGTGGATAAATTATAATATAGAAATCCATCATATAAATTATAAAATATTTTAGGCTGTATTATTTGACATAAACTAATTTTTTTTTGTGATTATGGAGATGAATATGTTCGAAGACTAGAGAATTATTTTTTTGTGATTGAGGATAATAAGAATATATATGAATCTGAAATTTAAATTATTAAATTTCTTTTTAACTTAAATAAAAGATTTTATCAATAAAATTTATAAATAATGGTACAATAAGCTAATTATTAATAACTAAAAATTTTATAATTAAAATTTAAAATAGCTCATAATATTAAATTAGTTAAATATCATTTTTGTAGTATATAATAGATTTTATTAAAAAAATATAGATTATAATTTAATAAGAAATTCATTCAAAAATTATATTTATTGCATAATTTTTAAAGAAATTCTCTATATCCAAATAATAAATATTATCATATTCTTAAACTTTTTATAATTTAATTTAAACTAAAAAATAATAATAAAATTTATCAAAATTTTATAATTAAATATTTTTTTTATAAAAATAAATATAAAAATTTATTAATACCATCACTAGAAATATATTAAAACTTAATCAATAAATAAATAAAAAATTATTAAAAAAATAAAAAAATGTAAATTAGAAGCTTAAATTAATAATTGATAGATTCAAAAATTAAAGCTTCAAACACAAATGATGATCTAATAGAAATGAAACACAAAATTAGTATATTGGATATAATAGGATTGATTTCCTTAGTTTTTTCCACTTATATTTTAATGCTTTTACTATTATGGGGATTAACTAAATGGACAACAAGTGACACAGGAAATAATTAAAAAGGATATCATGAAAATATGATTTTTAATTTAGTTATCTTTATAGTTTATGTGGTTTTTTTCGGTGTTATGTGGTATTTCTGTAGTGGTAAAAGAGATATTTATAGATAATAATTAATATTTGAAAAAAATAATTAATTAGAAGAATTAATTAAAGAGTGAATATGCTGAATTTTTAAAATTATTACATTTTGTGTTTTTGTTACTTTTTGCATTATTTTATAATAAAATATTTTATTAAAAATTTGAATTATTAATAAATTTTTTGCAATATTATAAAAACAATTTATTTTTACATAATTAATAATGATTTCATTTTAATTGTGATTTTTAAAATAAATTTTAATTTTAATAATTTTCTTTTATAAAATGTTGTATCTTTATTTATATATTTGAAAAAAAAAATTCAATTATATATTAATATATAAATTGTTTATATAGCTAACCTATTTTTTTTAATATATAATACGAATATTTTTGTTAATTTTTAATTTATATGAGTCATATATATAATATTTCAATAGAAGTTTTTTTTATTTCTTTTCGAATAAATATATTATTTGTAAAATATTTTTTCCTTATCATATAATATTTTATTTGCTATTTTTACTTTAATTTTTTTTTTATTCTTTTTTAAAAATATGAATATAAAATAAAAAAAAATCTTTAATTACTTATTTATTAATTTCACGTGAAATAATAATTAATTAAAAAAATTAAAATAAAATATATTTTTATTGTATTAAACATAAATAACAAAATATATTTTTTTCAGATTTTAATATACTAAAAATTTTATATGTTTACCTTTAGTTTTTTTGTTAAATATAATTATAATGAACATAAAAAATTATAATATTTTTTATTTTATATATTGTATTATTAATTTTATAATTTTTTATTTTATCTAATATTATTTATAGCAATTTTTTTTAACTAATAATTATATTTATTTTTTTATATCTATTTTGATTTTTTTGTTTTTTTCATAAAAATATTTTGATATAATTTATATAAATAAAAAAAGAATTTGAAAACATATAATATTTTAATGTAAACAATTATTTTATAATAAAATATTTATACCAAATAATTATTTTTTAAGTATAAGTTTATATTTTTATAAGTTTTAATTTGTAATATATAATATTATTAAGGATAATAAAAAATGTAGATAATTTGTTTTAAAGTTTTATTTTATGTAAGTTTTAAATTAATTTTGATATAAAAACTATTAACTATAATTATAGATTAATATTTTATGCCATGCTAAAAAATTAAAGATATATGATTTGAAATAAAAAATATTAACTATATATTTTTCCTTAATATTATTTTAAATTATGCCTTCTATATATAAAATTTATTATATTTATAGTAATATTTTTAATTTTATTTCTTTGTTTTACAAGAAATTATATTAATATTTAAACTAATAAGTTCCATATATAAAGGCTATTTTATCTATAAATATTTTTGAAAAATATTATATAGTAGTTTATTTATAATATTAGCAATTGTTTTTACTGTAAAATTAACTTCCATTATTATAATATCATATTTAGCAGTTCAAATAACCTATAAATAACAAACTAACTCAATAGCTTTTAAAGCAGACACAAAATTGTCTTTATAAAGAGTTGTTATCATCATTAAGTATATTAGATACTCGAAATTTTAAAAGTAATACTTTAAATATAAATTTTTTGAAAAAGATTATACATAAGATCTTTTCAAAAGAAATTGATAAAATAGTCGTTTTCAAAACATTATTCAATGCCCTACTATCTAAAAAAATTAATAAATTTAGGGGATAATTTATAAATTACATAAACATTTTTAATTTATTTCAAATAATTAAATAAAGAAAATGTTAATGCTCTCTTAAATTATTCATATTTTATAGATAGAATTTATGGAAATTATTTATATATCAATTAGTGTCTATAAAATATATTATATATATGTGTTTTCTAATTCGGATTGAAGACTAAAAAAAAATTTAAATTCTTGTTTTTAAAAAATTAATTATATTAAAATTAATAGGTATTTAATAATCATATTTTTTATTTATTTAAACTATCATTAAAAATAATATATTTTTAATAATATGACTATTTTACTTATTTTTCTTTTTTATTCTAAAAAAAAATTGTCATCCGTGTAAAATTTAATAATGAGTAAATACAAAATTAAAAATTTTAATATAAATAAAAATAAATATGTTTACAAGCAAATAAAAAGACTTTTAAAGAATCTAATTTAAAACTATTATAAATAAATAAATTATTATTTTCATTAATATATATAAATATGAATTATAATTAAGATATATATAAATATATATTTATATATATATTAATATATATTTATATATTAATATATAATATTATTAGAATTATTTTCTGAATTTGTTTTAAGGTATAACATTATTTTTACTTTTTATAGAAAAGTTAATTTATTTTATCTTATATAGAATATTTTAATTTAATTTTACTAAACAATTAATATTTTATATATTTTTTTATTATAAATATAATAAATTTTAATTATAAATTGATGATGTTTTTAAATATTGTTTTTAAAATAAAATAATATAAATTTGCATATAAAATTATAAAAAAATAGTTTGTGTCTAAAAAATCTTAAATAATATTTATTAAAAAAATAAATACAAAATAAACATTAATTAAATAAATGATTGATTAACAAATATTAAATAATGACGAATAAGTCCATTTTAAAGGAGAAAACATACATTTATATTTAATAAGTAATAAAACTGAAAAAGGAATAAACTTTAATCCTGGATAATTATATATAACGGCTTAGCGTGTAATATTTACTAACTAAGATGGATATATATTTTAATTAGATTATTAAACAGTAATTTCGCATGGAATATAAGATTCTTTATTAGTGTGTTATTTGCACGATAATAATTAAGATTACAACATAGAGGAAGATGAAGAAGTTGATGAAAACGAAGAAAATTAATATTTTTAATTTTTAATAAATCAAAAAAATTAATTAGTAAATATTTAAGGGGATTTTCAATTAAATTTTTCTTTTGAAGAAAAAAATATTTTTCCATTTTTATAAAATGGATTTTAAGCTTTTTCCAAATGTTCTTCTCTTAATCCAGATCCTGAAGACGAAAACTAAATAAATCCATTGGCAAATATACTTTTTGGGGAAGGAGAGGTTAATACTGGATTTGACTTTGATTCTATGATTACTGCTAAAGATATTGATGATAATAATTAATTAATTAAAAAAAATCTAAACAATGATTAAAATGATGATGAAGATGAAGATGAAGATGAAGATGAAGATGATGAAGAAGATAATGAAGAATATTATGAAAATTAAGAGGATAATAATTAATAATTTGATAAAGAGAATTAAAATGCAAATGATATGGACGTAGAATGATGATTTTTATTTAAATTAAAAATAAAATATAATATTATTTTGTCATTTTTTTATTTTTAACATATACGATAAAAATAATTTTTTTATAATTAAAACTAAAAAAAAAACTTTAGAATTTAAATTATATTATTTATTCAATTTAGTAATATTTTACATTTTAAATATTAAAATTAAAATTAGTTAGAAATATATAAAAATAAATTATATATAATTCCAATAAAGGATAATATTTTTTTGTTTAAATTAAAAATACATAATCAGCTATTTAAATATTTTTAAGTCTATTGTTTTTTATACTTTTTTATTAATTATTTACTTAAACTAATTTTCCATAGGCCTAAATAAATAAATATAAAATTATAAAAATTAATTTTAAATTTTACAGTCATTATTTTTTCACCTTCTATTTTTTTTTAAATATCATCACTCATTATTGCATCTTTTTTTTGATAAAATAAAATATGAATTGAAAAAAACCTAATAGCTTTTTTCTTCTGATTGTAGAAATAATTAATTAAAAAGGTAAATTTGCAGTTTAAATTGTTTTTTCCCCTAAAGAATCATTGATCATATCTAGAAGGCATAATTAATCACATAAAAAGTTTAATAAAAAATAAAAAAACCTTTAAAAAATTTTATAATTGCATTATTTTTTGTTTATCTGCCATTTCCTTTTTATGATTTTATTATATCTAAAAACTCTTGAAATTCGATTTCATTAGAATGATCTTTATCTACTTAGTCTATTATTTTTTTTACTTCTTCTTTAGATTCAGCAATACCTAAAGAAATCAAGGGATCTTCCAATTCTTTTAATCCAATACTACCTTTTTTAATTATAATTTTATAAACTTTAAAAATAATAATTATTACCAGAACCATCTCCATCCAAAGATTTAAAATATTATTTTAATTTGAAGCGTTCTTTATCATCAAAATCAATATATTTTTTTAAATCTCTTTTTATCAACCATTTTCTTATTTCACTTTCTTTCAACTTTTTATTATTTTCTTTAAAATCTTTTATTCTTTATTTTTTTTCTTATAACAATTCTTCATAAGAGGGCTTTTATAAATCTTTATATATAAATCAGTAAAAAATATATAAATTTCAAGAGTATTAATATAAATATATGATTTATATATATTTTTATATTAAACTTCTTGTGTTTATTAAATCAATAATATCTTATTCTGTAAATTACTAAATATTTTTTTATTTATTTTGATTAACTTTTATTATTATTACTTGGTTCATATTTAAGATTTTTTTTTATTTAATTTTTAATAAAAAGTATATGTATAAAAAAGAAATTGTTTAAAAAACAAAACCATATAATTCTATAATTATTAATTAATAAAAACAAATAAAATCTAATTATTTTTTTAATATAAAATAAAAATAATAATAAAACCTTTAAATAAAAATCAATATAAATTATTGAAATTCATAGAAAAAATATTAATATATTTAATTAACTTAAAAATATATTCTTACATTAATTAAAACAAATAAAAATGTTATTAAAATATTTAACATACACTTTATTTATTTTGTTTATTTTTATATTTTTGAATTGCTAAATATATCCTTGTTTATAAATTGTATATTTTTTATAGAATTTTTTTATAAACTTTAATCAACAAAAAAGAGTAAATAGAATAAATAATTTCCTATTTTTCGAATTTTTAAAAATAGATTACAGAAAAAATCTATATACAAGTAATATAATAATACTATTATATATATAAATAATTTTTTAATAATACATATTATATTTATAAATAATCTGCTACATATTAGATTATTTTTTAAATATTTTTTACTTAAATTACTATAAAACTAGTTCAAAGCTTTTAACATTTATAATATATTGATATATGAATTTTAATAGCACAAATTTTTATGTAGTTGAAAAAATTTAATTTTTTAATTATTATTTTGTATATTTTTTTTCTTGTCTAAAAAAAATTCTGTAAATCAATAAAATTTTGTATAATTTAATTTAAAAATGCTAATAAAAACTTTAAAAAATAATAGTTTAAATATCGCCTTTTAGTATTCATTAATAGCAATAAAATTTTGAAAATTATATTCGGTATTTATTCTAATTGTCTTAAATATTATATTTCATTGTAATTTTTTTTTTTTTTTTAAACAAATTGTGATTAACTAAGCTTATCATAATTATCAAAAACTTAGTAAAATAAACATTTATTTTAAAAAAAAATTAATAAAAAATGACTTAATCTATAAAAAAATTAATAGTATTTCATTAAAAAATTGTTTTAAAAAAGTAATTATTTATAATAATAATAAAAAATACAAATTTAGTAAATTAAAATTTTTGAATGAAAATAAATTTAAATCAATTAAATAATAATAATAAATTATTAATATAAATAAACAAAATTCAAAGAAATGAGTATTAACTTATTTAACGATAAATTATCATTAAGTTCAAATGAAGAAGATGATTAATAAGAAGAATACCATTCAGAATAAAATAATTCTTTTTTTTAATAATAAAGTTCTTTTTCAAGCACTAAAAAAACCAATACAAAATAGTAATAAGAATTGAATAATATTAATAAAATATAATAAAAGTATGATTTTTCAAAAAAAAGTAATAAAAATAGTAAAATTAAAAATATATTTTTCAAAAAAAGATCTTGAAATTTTTCCTTATTTAAAAGATACAAACTCTTCGGAATTAATACTAGATTATAGAAATAATAATTTAAATAAATTTAATCTATAGTTTTCAGAAAATGTACTTGAAATAGATTTGAGTTTTAATAAGTTTGTATTTCTAACAAATATAACTGGAAGAAATATAAAAAAACTTAATTTAAGTCATAACAGATTAATTAATATAGAAGGATTAACATAAGAATGCAATAATTTAGAAGAATTAAATTTAAGTTTTAATTTAATTGGAGATTATTAATTGAATATATTTAAAAAATTTAAATAATTAACAGTATTAAATTTAAGGCATAATAATTTTAAAGGAAAGGAATTCTTAGAATTTTTTAAAGGAAACAATAATTTAATGATTTTAGAAGCACAATAAAATAATATAAAAGAAATAGATTTTTAGAATTAGATGCTTTATATTGAGAATTTAGATTTATCCGAGAATAAAATTACTTCTTTTATTTTTTCAAATAATTAATTCGTAAACAAAATCCAAAAGTTAAATCTTTAATAAAATTAAATATAATAAATCGAAATAAGTTCTTTAAATAATCTTAAAGAAATAAATATTAGTTAAAATAAATTAAAAGGATTAGTTTATTTATAAAACGAGAATTTATAAATAATAAATTGTTCTCATAATTAAATAAGTAGTTTAAAAATAAATAAAAAAAATTAAATTTCTTATCTAAATATTTCTTATAATAATATTTGTGACATTTCTTTTGTTTCTGAAAATTTAATTAACCTAAATTATTTGAATTTAGAATACAATTTGATTTCAAATATCGATTTTTTTATTTTGCATATTTAAAAACTGATAAATTTAAAGGATATATTTTATTCTAATAATCCTATTTCAGAAAACGAATTTAATTGTTAAAAAATTAAAATATTCTTATCAAACTCTAATTAAATGGCTTTTAATAATAAATTGGATTTTTCTATGTAAAATGACAATGAAATAAATGAAAATGAAGATATAATTTTTAATAATAAATTAAATTTTTCTATGTAAAATGACAATGAAATAAATGAAAATGAAGAAATAATTTTTAATAAAATTTTAAACGACTTATAATATACTTGTAAACAAAATTTATCTTTATTAGAAAATTATTTAAGAAATTCCAATTTTAATTTAATAATTGAAAAAGATAATAGTCTTTTATTACTAATGAATTAATTTATTATAAAATAATTTTAAATAAAATACTCAAATAATGTTTATGAAAATAAATATTTTATAAAAGCTTAGTAATTATTGAACTCAAATTACGAAACTTTCTAGCCATATTAATCATAGTCATAAACTTTGAGAGATAAAAATTTAGAGGAATAATAAACATAGTAAATATATATTATGAATAACTAGATTTAACCATAATTATAAAAAGAAAATGATATAATATTAAAAAATTAAAATTTTATTTAAAAAAATGAAGTTAAAAATAATATAAATTACCATAATAGTGCATAAAATAGTAAGAGTCTAAATTTGAAAATAAATATAGAAGAAAACTAATAATAAGATTTAAAAATTTAATGTTTAAAAATATTTAATTAATATGTCAAAAACTATAATAATAATAAAAATAACAATATAGAACATAAAATATAATCTAAATACTTAACTAATATGATTAATGAAGTTTTCAACTTATAAGAATTCTAATATAGTATTTAAAACATAGAAGATTTCATTTATCAATAAAAACTATAAACTTTAACTAATTTTTCTTAATTTTACAATATAGTGATTAAATTTATTTACGATTAATAAAGTATTTTAAAAAATAATACTTAGAGTGATGATATAGACGAATTTAATAAATAAAAAATAAATTTAAGGTAAGAAAGCAGATGTAAATCATTAGAATTACAAAATAAAAATTATTACATTAATTAAAAAATAAATAATAATGATAATATAAAAATAATAGGTTCAAAATGTAATTAAGCAGTAAATAAAATAAAATATAATGAAAAAAAAATTAATTGTAATAAAAATGATGAAGATAATTAAATATGTAATGAATAAAAAAGCAGAATTATAAATATTAATAATAATAATAATAATTAGTTATAATTAAAATTTAGTTAAATAAACCATATTAATAATAATAACAAAATTTCAATTTTTTAAGATGAAGAAAACATTAACAATAATATTAATGATAATGATAATTCATTTTTTTCAAATTTTACAGATAATAAAATTTTAAACTTTTTACAAAAAAAATAATAAAAATTTATTAAAAGTAATGAAAATTATTAAAATATCTTTTTTAATATTAGTGATGATTAAAGCAATATTTATATTTGCCAAAATCTAATACATTTGAATGATATATATGATTAAGATAGTGAAATAATTTTAAATTTAATTAAATTATATATTTAATGGAAAGAAAATACTTTTTATATATAAAAAATAAATTAAAATTTTAACTCTTTAAATTTAATTGAACATGTATATTAAAATTAAGAAGAACATTTTTTAGTATATAATTTATTATAAAAGTTCAACTTTTAGTTAATAAAATTAGCCAAAAGTATAAACTTTTAAGAATTAATTATTTTTCAATAAAAAATAAAATAAATTTCAGCAGAAAATTTAAATGAGAACAATTAATATTTAGCATAAATTCAAAACTTTAATGTAGGAATATATTAATCAGAATTTTGCATTTTATTTTATCAGCCTTTGTTGCTTTTTTATTCGTCTAATATTTAGAATTTAGGTTAAATTTTTTGAGTAATCTTCATTTAGTAATGTCTTTAAAGAATAACATATTGTTTTTTCGTTAAAGATTAACTATGCCATTAAATAAAAGGATTTGTAAATTTATTTTATATATATTTCATAATTTTTATTTATTTATTAGATATTATTAGTAAAAGAAATCAAATATTATGTTTAATAATTTACATAAGGTGAATTAAACCTTTAAATGGAGAATTTTGTTATGTTATGTATTTTTAGGAAGATGTTTTATTGAAAATAAAAATTATTTTAATTAATAAGAACAAAATATTTAGCTTTTTAAAAATCTTTAAAAGTTTTTTTTTAAAAAATAAATTATATATTATATTTAATTCATTTTTATAAGATAAGGATATTCTTCTATTTATTTCCAAAAAAATGATATTTTTGTTAGTTTAGACAATTAATTATGTTAACCTTTGTACATGTGTGAATATTATTGTTGATTTTTAAAAATATTAAAAAACTAGCAAGTTTATTACGTTCATCTTTTATATAATATATTTTTTTTCATTTGGTTTATTATTAAAATATTATTAAAAAATAATAAATAATAATGCTAACATTTTTTAAATTATTTTATCTGATTAAGAAAACAATAAATAAACTGTTGTTTAATATATAAAACTAATTTATTTAAAAAAATAATAGATATAATTTTATAAATAAGATATATATATAAAAGTATGAAAACTTTAATATGTCCATTAACTAAAAATCCAATTACATAATAATAATTTAACTTAAAAAACACATTAATAAATGGTCAAGCCTTTAATTGGTTTAGAAAAGACATTTCAAACTCAATAGAATATCGAGGAATATTAGGAAATAATATAATAGATTTTAAAGTAAATTAAGATGACTAAATATTATTTTAAGAATATCCCAAAAATGATAAAATAGATGAATTATTAGCAGACTATTTAAATTTGAATATAGATTTGGAAAAATTATGTGAAAAATGGTGTGAAAACGATTCATACTTTAAAAGCTGTTATTAAATAAAAGGTTTAAAAGGTATAAGAATCCTCAGGTAAAACCCTTTTGAATGTTTAATAAGTTTTTTATGTTCGTAAAATAATAATATTCCAAGAATAACATCAATTTTAAAAAGATTAAGGGAAAATTTTGGATAAGAAATAACATTTGAAAATCCCCAAAATGAGAAATATTTTAGTTTTCCAAATCTATATTAATTAAAAAAAGCAAATGAAAATACTCTTAGAGAGCTTGGATTAGGATATAGAGCAAAATATATAGTAAAAACTATAGAATTATTAGAAGAAAAAGGAGGAGAAGAATATTTATTTGGGCTAAGAGGAGATAAAGATAAATAATAAAAACTTATTTAATTTCATGGCATAGGAAAAAAAGTTGCTGATTGCATTTCTTTATTTAGTTTAGATGATTTTAATGTTATACCAGTTGATACCCATGTTTTTTAAATATATAAAAATGTTTATAAAAAGAAAGGGAATAATGATAAATATGAAAATATTAATGAATTTTTTAGATGTCTATGGGATAATTATCCAGGATGGGCTTAACAAATTGTTTTTGCAGCAGAACTTCCATAATTTAAGTAAAATCAAATTAATGAAATTTTATAAGGAAATAAGAAAAAAGTTTCAAAAAATGAAGAGAAAAATAATGAGAATAAAATTTTATCTCTTAAACAAAAAAAAAAAAAATGATTTATATAAATTTTCGTTTTTAAAAAAAACATTATATAAAAATATTATTTTAATATAATATATAAGCTTGAGACTTTATTTAATGCGTATTTTAATATAATCACTGATATTATCGTTACATTAATTTAATTTGACTTGATTTATATACTACTTGTTCATATTTTTTTTTCTGTAATTTTATACTAAAATTCAATTAAAAAGAAAGCCTGTTATCCCACTTTTTTTTATTGAGTTTTTTTAAAAATAAAAATTAATATGAAAAATCATAAATTATATAAGTTAAACTATTAAAAAATATGGCTTAAATACTATTATATTTTAAAATTAAATATTTAAATTTTAAAAAATAATGAAAAATATTTTTATTAATATTGAAATTTATAAAATAATATTTTTATATTTATTTTTTTATAAAATATCTTTTATAATTATATATCTTTATATTTTAATATATTTGAATATCCAAAATTAGTATGAAAAAATATATTGAGAAATATTTGCAAAAATTGAAAAAAAATTTGTCGACATGAAGACTAAACTTTTTTTCTGGTACTCAAATAATTTTTTCTTGGAATTTTAAATAATATTTAATTAATTTTATAGATTATACTAATATTTAGTCATTATTATATTTTAAAAAATTATGGCCAAAAAAAATTATAAAACAAAGTTAGGGAGTGTAGTAAAAATATTCAAATTAAAATGTAATAAGATCTTGATATAAAAATCTTAATGCCGATAATTTTAATTATTTCAAAATTAATTTGATATTTTTAATAAATGAGAAATATAATAATTATGTATTTTTAATGTGAAAGTAAATACTAAAACGTAAATATTTTTATTAATAGAAAATTTTTTAATATAGTAAAAAAGTAAAAATAATTAATTTACAACTATAAAATTAATCAAATATTATATAGTAAACTATATTTTTTAAGTAAATTTATAAATAAAATATAGATAAAACAAAAAGAATAATAATGTAATAATCTTTACATTATTATTAAATTCATATCTATAAAAATTAAGTTTATAATATATATAATACCAAAATACAATATATAGCAAACTAATACTATAAGTAAAAGTTAAATTTTATATTTTTCAAATAATTTTAAGAATATAATAATAAAATTTATTTGCAAAAAGTGAAGGTGTCATTTTATTTGTCTCACATGTATAAATTTTGTTGTTATTTATAATTTAAATAATATATTATTAGTATATATTTTTAATCAATTGAAAAAAGGCTAATAAATGATGATTTTTTAATATATTATAGGGTACCTAAAAAAGCAATGTATTTAAAAAAAATAATATTTTGCATAACAAAAAAATATTTTTTAAAAAAATATAAAGTAAAAACAGCTATAAAAAAATAAGTTTAAGTATATATAATATTTCCCTTTTTATTTATATATTTATTTATTAATTATTTAAATATAATAGTAATATATAAAATATATTTTAATTTAAGATTTTAGCCAGATTGCGCAGTTAAATTAAAAAACAAGTTAAATTTTAAAAAAATAAAATAATCAATTAAACTAAATAATGTGTAAAAGAATATAAAAAAAAATTAGCTTTATCTATAATAACTTTTAATAAATAATTTAAGCAATTAGTATTTCAACAAAAATTTTCCAATTTAAAAGTTAATAATCTCAGCTTTTCACTCTAGGGATATTTGAAAATATAATTGATAATCAAACTAATTAATATATAATAAACTAAAAATAAATCATAATTTATATTTTTTTTTATACAAATCAGTTTTAAAAAAATGTTACATTTATTATAATTATATAAAACTAATTTATAATTTTTTTTTTTTTAATAATTAACTCTATTTAAGTAAGACTTGTCTACATTTAGATTAATATAAAAAGCGGTTACAGTATTTTAATATGAACATATAAAACTTGTATCTTTTTTAATTTCCTTAAAAATAATTAATAATTTTAGAAAAAATTAAAAACACATTAAATATTTTTTTGCATATATATAATGTGTATTGATAACATTAAATAAACTTAATTTAAAAGTTAAATTCTATAAATTTCAATTCAAAAATATTATAAAAATAACTTGTAGCCATATATATAAATTATAAAAAAGACACTAAATTTAACATTTAACTTAAAAATAAAAATAATGATTTTAATATATTTATTATCTTAATTATTATTAGGAAAAAATTAGTTAATCAATTATACTAACAAATATTAATGAAGAAAGTTATATAGATGTCAATTATTAATAAATAAATTAATTAATTATATTAAACAAAAAAATGAATATTTGAGAAATAAAAAAAAAATTTGAAGTAAAACAATAATGAATTTGGTTATACAAAATATTTATTTTCTTGTAAAAAATATCCATAATAATAATAAATACAAGCAGAATACTAATATAAATAGCTGAATTTATAATTAAAAATTTTCAAATAGAAATAAAGCAAAATAACTAAATTTATACTAATTTTTTAACTTTAAAATAAATATTATTAAATTGTTATTATTTTTTTGTTAAGTTTTCTAGCCCTCAAACTAAATTTAATAATTTGGTAAAAAACTTTGAATTAATAAATTTAAATATAAATTAAATGAAGTATAAAAGCAAAAGATAATGAAAATAATTAATATAATAAATATTTCTATATAAAAAGTTAATATTAAGTAAATGTCAAATAACATAAATTTTAATAATTAAAAAAGAGAAGTTTTAAATATTTTTCTTTGCTATACTTCAAATTGGCCACTTTAATAAAATTACTTTTCTAATTTTGATTTTATTATTATTTTATAATATAATTTTATAATTATTAAATCTATTAATTGATATTTTAAATTATTATATCCTATTACTTATTTAAACTTTTTTAATTTTATTATAAATTAATCTAATTTTCTTAATTTGTTTATCTTTATCTTATTTCACTTTTTTTGTAGGTCTTTCAGGACAATTAATATTTTATAATGTCGATCAGAAAAAATTTTATTTTGTATTGGCTTTTAAATAAAAAATGTTTTTCTGAATTTTAATCATAAAATAAAATCATGTTATGAAATACTTAGTCATTTAATATTAAATTATTATCTATTTAAATAATACGTGTTTATAAAATATCTCCACTGTTATTTTATATTTCTTATCTCTTTATTTATATTTATTGATATATTTTTTTATATTACATCTACATTCAAGGCATTTTAAACAACAACAAAAACTTTATTTATTTATAATTTATTTGTAAATAATATATTTTTAAATAATTTATATAAATTATTGCATTAACATAAGAAATCGGATTACTAAATTTTGTTTAAAAATATTATCTTTTTATTTATTATTAACATACAAAAAGAAGAATTAAAAATACTTATCAATATTAGAAAGATTAATTTTATATTGTTTTAAATAATTTATAAATTTAAAGTAATCAATTTAAATATAATTTATTAAATATATTTATTATTAAAAAAAAAGATATCAACATAAAAAGCATAATTATATATTTAAAAATAATGAGAAAAATTATAATAATTTCAATTTTAATTATTTTTATATCTTTCGGAACTTTGTATTTATCAAGTTATATTCAGTATTTAGAAAATTAACAAAATTAAAGTAAAATAATATAAAAACAATCAGATGATGTAATCTAGGAAGATAATGTTTTCGTCTTAAATGATAATAACTTTAATAAATTTATATAAAATAAAGACTTTGTTTTGGTTGAATTTTATGCTCCATGGTGTGGACATTGCAAAATGTTAGCTCCTGAATACTCTAAAGCAGCAGAAAAAATACATAATCAAATAAATAATAATATATATTTATCAAAAGTTGATGCAACATAAAATGAAATACTTTCAATTTAATATTAAATAAATGGATTTCCAACGTTTAAATTTTTTATTAGGGGAAATCCTATAAATTACACAGGAGGAAGAACAGAAAGTGAAATTATAAATTGGGTTTAAAATAAATCAGGACCAATTTCTACTTTAATAATAACCGAAAGTCAATTGTAAGAATTCAAACAAAAAAATGATATTTTTTTAGTTTATTTTGGTAAATATTAAATTATTTTTATTTCAAGTTAAATTATTTATAAATAGGAAATAACGAAAACGACAAAAGTTTCAATGATTTTAAGGAAGTTGCGATGTAAACATAAGATATAAGATTTGGTCATATATTTGATAAAAAAATTAGACTATAAGAATGCTCAAAGACAGAAAAAAAATAAGTAGATGAGGATTAAGAAAATTTATTAATTATAATGTATAAAAAATAAGATGGAGAGTTCAACAAAATATTTTTTGAAGATTAATAATTCAAAGCTCATTAATTATAATAATTTATTTAAAAAAATGAATTACCTTTAATTATGGGCTTTAACGAAAAAGCAGTAGAAGTTATATACAAAAGAAACAAAGATGCAGTTATTTTAGTTTGTTGGATAAACTGCGAAAAAGAAGAAGAAGTACTCAAATAATTAGCAAAAAGAAAAGATAAAGAATTTAATATTCAATTCATGATTAGTAAAATTGACGATGGGTTTGATTATTTTGAAAGATTAATTGATTTTGTTGGATTATAATAATAAGAGTAACATTAGATTGTCTATGCTCATCCAATTGGTAAAGGTGAAGAGTTAATAAGATATATCTTAAGTTAATAAATTATTAATCAAGAAATCATAATAGAGTTTATTGAAGGCGTTCAAACAGGAAAAATAGTTCCTTTTTATAAAAGTTAACCAATCCCGGATGAAGATGCTAATGATATTATTAAAGTTATTGTCGGATAAAATTTCAAATAAAAAATAATTGATAATTAAAATGATTTTTTAGTCTTATTTTATGCTTCTTGGTGTGGAAAATCTAAAGAATTCGAACCTAAATATCAATAATTAGCAAAATTATTAAAACCAAATAAAAATCTTACTTTGACAAAAATTGAAGGAAGCGAAAATGATATTCCCGAAATATATTATAAAGGTTTTCCTACGCTTTTTGTATTTTAAAGTTTGAATAAATAATAACCTTTTATATATGAAGGAAAAATGGAAGTTGATGAAATTCTTAATTGGCTCAAAGAAAAAATTAAGTAATTATTATATTTATATAAATTTAATTAAATATTATTTTTATTGATATTATAGTTATCAATTAATTTTATAAAAAGAAGAATTTTGATTTTTTAAACAACTTAAATCTTCATTATTTTATTATATGAAAATAAAAAGATTATTTAATGTAATAATTTTATAATTATGTTTTTTTTATAAGTATTCAAGCAATTTCAATTATTTAAATACTCCATTTAAAATAAATGCATTTTTTAAATTTATAAAAAAAATATTTGTTTCATAATTATGAGTTAGACTAAAATAAAAAACTACTTTTAATTTCTTTAGATTCTTTTTAAGAACACAATTTTTTAGATTAAATTTCTTTCTATTTGCTATTTAAATTACATTTTTGATTATACTTTGATTATTTTTATTATTGTTAATATTAAAGATGGTAGAATTTAATATTTTCTAAATATTTTTACTTTTTCAAAAGCTAATTTTATTTTTTTTATTATTTTTTTGCTTCTCTTTCAGTTCTTTAACAAGGAGCAAAAGGATGGGATCTAGCTTTATGGCCTCCTAATTTTTATTTTGTTTCAAATTGCTTTTTACATATTAAGCATATAAATTATTTCTTTCCATTTACCATCATTACAGATGGAAATTTTTAAAAGTTTTGTATTTTTTTATATTTTAGTACTTTTATATAGTACTTTTTTAACAATATTATTATTTCTGTATTTTATTTGGTAAAATTTCTTATATATAATTTTATTATTTTTAATTCTATATCTATTCTATGTTTTGATTTATTTTAGTAATATTAACTTCTGTATTCTAAAATTTAATGATATTTTAAAATTATATTATAAATTATTTTACTTTTTCTTGACTAAGATTATTGCTTAATTTACAAATACTATCACTATTTAAATAAGAATAGTTAAAAAAGACATCATCTTGTTCTCTGTTTTCATAATAATAATTAAACTATTTCTAATCTTTATAAGAATAAAAATTTGAATTTAAATCTTCTTTTCTATCATCTAAATTTAAATAAAGCTAAAAATCATGAAAAGATTAGCTATTTTGATCCTGATTATATTCAAATTGCATTACTTCTACTATTTTTTTCAAAAATTATCAATATAATATTATTTTGAGTTGATTTTTTGTTACAAAAAAATTAGTTTTTAATAAGTATTAGTTAAATTTATGAATTTTCATATTTTTGCTTAGAATCGTTATTAATAAAATTTAAAGAAAGTTTTCTAAAATAATCTTTATTAATTAAAAATGCCAATAATAAAAAAACTTAAAAAATTAATAAATTTAAATTAAATAAATAATAAAATAATATTAAATTTTATATTAATATAAAAATAAAAATTAACCTCAAAATAAATATTTTTAAAAAGAAATAAAATAAATAAATGGGTTCAACTTAATTAAAATAATCAAAAACAGATGAAAGTTTATCAAAAGAGTATCAATATTTCTTACATGAAGTAAAATAAAATGATGAAAGATATGGTTAAAATATAAGAATATATAAATAAATAAATTCTTAAAAGAATGCAGCAATAATAACAAAAAAATTAGAAGATTAAATATTATGTTACACATAATATTAATATTAATTATAGCTTACTTTACTAAAGCATCCAGCACTTTTGAAAATAATAGGGGTAAAAAAGAAAGAAAAAAGACATTTGTGTTCAAATATATATAAAGTAAAGACTTTAATTGAATATGCAGATATAGATTTAAGTAAATAAATAGAAAACAGGAAAATTCTTCAAGAGCAAATAAAAAGTTTACCAATAAAAATATTAGAAGAAAACCAAAACATAAATTTCGAAGAAAATGAAATTTGGTATATTTTAGCTGGCACAATATCTGGTTTATCTTATTTATATGAAAGATAAATAAATCATGGAAACATTAGACTTTAAAATATATTTATTGATAAAGAAAATAAACTAAAAATTGCAATTCCAAATAGCTTTATTAATCAAGGAATTAATTCTTTTACTGAATGCTTAATTTTGGGTTGTGAAAGTTAATAAATTTACATTTCTCCTTAACTTTTCAAATAAATTTAATTTTCAGGTCAAAAGATAAAGTATGATTTAGAGAAAAACGACGTTTTTTGTCTAGGATTGTGTGTTTTGGAATGCTGCTTAATGGAAAGTATTTAAGATATTTTCAACTTTTAAAATTTTTAGATTAATTTAGAATATTAGTTTAAGAAGTTGAAAAATATGGATATATATTCTAACTATTTATGTAATTTTTTAGAAGAAATGATGGTTTTGGATGAATTTTAAAGATAAAATTTTGACTATTTTTATAATAAAATTATATCTCTTGCTGAAAACAGTGATATTAAAATTAATAATTGCATTTAAAGCTACGATTTAGCTTCTAATAAATATACATAATGGATTATTACAAATAACTTTAACATTTAAATAAATTAAGATTCAGTAATTAATGAAAGTTTTGATAATAATTTGGCATAAACTTTATAAAAAAACACTTAAATAGCTTCCTTATAAAGTGCATCTCCTGAAAGGTTAAAAGAATTTAGTCAAGAAACAAATTAAGAATTAGATAATAATTTTCCAACAGGGAATTTTCCTTTGAATACTTAAAATTACATAAATAATGGTAACTTTTAATAAAACAATCATAATTTTATTATAAACAAATTTATGGAAAATCCTTAATTATATGTTCATTATTTAAACTAATAAGAAATATTGTAATTAATTTAATATTTTAGTGATTAGTAAATAATTAAAAACGATTTTATTTAAAACTAATAACATTGTAATTTTTATAATTAAAAATTAAATTTTAACAATCTAAATATCAATTATAATAATCTGAGTAACCATGATTAGAATTTTAATAACAAATATTTTTAATAAAATAATTGATTTCATAATTATGATTAAAATTAATAGTAACATTATGTTTAGAATTTATATTTTTCCGGAAACTAATGATATATTAAATAATATTATAGTAATAAATATTTATATATTTTTTATTTTATAAAACAGATAAAAATAATATTTTTTTCTCTTATAATTAATATAAAATTTTTAATAAAATTAATAAAATTATTGTTATATTATAAACTGCAATAAAATTAATACATAATCTTAAAAAATAAAATAAAATAAAATAAAATAAATTATTTGAATTTTTTAAACTATGAAATACTCATTTCCATAACCTCTTCCAGATAAATCATTAGTTAGTTGGGATATCCCTGGTTTAAATTAAAAAATAAAATATTTTTTTTTCTCTTTTTTATAATAATAAAAAAGGTGCTAGATCAAAATTTATTGAAAAAGAAATAAAAAATAAAGAGCGTATCATAAAAGAGTATACAAAATTTCTAATAAAAAGATAAAATAAATTTTTTATAGTTATAGTCCACCTATTCCAAGGCCTTAAAAATTAGATTATGTAATTCATACAAGGCATGAATTAAATCCTTAAATATGTAAAGGTAATCCAAATTAAATATAAATTCCATAAGGAGATGCTTTTTAGTTGGGAGGTAAAAAGCATTTTACTATATTTAAAGGTGAAATTTAAGAATAAAAATCATTATAAAACCCATATAATTAACCTAAAAATGTTGAATATGAAAAAGTTATAAAAATAATTTATTTTTATTTAAAATAATTCAATAAAAAAGTCTGAATATCCTAGAAATTTAAATGTAGCAGATATAGATGGAGCAGTTCCAGGGACTTTAGTTAGTAAAGTTGTAAAAAATAAATAATTAGCAGATAAACTATTATAAGAAAAATAAGGTACATTTTATTTTCAAAAAAATACTTAAAATTATAAAGAGATATAAAAGAAAGCGCAAGATAATAATAATAAGAACTAAGAAAATTATTAAGATTCATTGGATATTTTGAAAAACTAAATGCAAGATTACAAAGATAGGCATTTTTATAAAAATTTAAATTTAGAAAATCCTTATGCACCAATAAATGATCCTAAATATAATCCTGAATTAAAGAAGAAAATAGAGGAAATGTAAGAAAAAGAAGAATTAAGTAAAAAAAGTTAATAATCTTAAAGACATGTTTATTAAAAAGAAAATACATCTGCAAATTAATAAGAACATGATAAAAATTAAATGTAATAATTATAAGACGAATAACATTATTTAAGGCAATCTTAATATGGAATTAATATATAAAATGATAATTCATAAAAACATGATAGCTACACCGAATAAAAAAATTACTAACATTCAGACTATAATTAATAATAATATGATGATATACAAACCCCACTACAATAAAAACAAATAAATTAATTATAGGAGAATTAATAATAAGAAAAGTATTAATAAATAAAATAATATCCTTAACCTGTTTATAACTTAGGAGGATATTAACTGTCTAAAAATGGGTAAAGAATGAATCCAACTAACTTTTCATATGCAGGTAAAGAGTTAGCTAATTAAGATATAATCTTTAAACACAATATAATTGCAAACAAAATTAGTTCTTATCCTAAAAATAAAAATTAAACATTAAATAATACTTTAAACACTTTACAAGTACATTAATCCAAAAATTAAGTGGAAAAGTAAATAAAATAACAAAAATAAATATGTTATTTTTAAAAAATATAATAAAAAAAGTATCTTAAAGAATAATACAATTAATAATGATCTTTAACATTAAAATTTAGATTGTTATTAAAAAAATAATTCTAAAATACCTGTATACAATAGTCCATAAATAGAAAATTATCAAAGCTTAAAATAAGTAAATTAAAATTAACAAAATAAAACACCTTTTGGTGCTCCATTTTCATATAATCCTTAAGAATATAAAACGTAAGATATGGTTGATTTAAATAATCACTAATAATTATAATAAATCGAAAAATAAATTGATGTTAATTAAACAAGAATAGGTTAAATTTAAAGTCTATCTCCCGAAATAAAAAATCCAAATATTAAATAAACTTTAAATTAAAATTACTCAGCTTATAAAGCTGATAATTATTATAATTCCTAAATACTTTCACCTTATAATAAAGAAATAGGTAATTTTACATTAATAGTTTGTCATTTTTATATTTTATTTAGATAATAATGATAATCAATATAAATAAATAAATAATGTAAACTAAAGAGATTT